GTATCGTTAATCGCAACGCGAGGCACAGTATATTCAGCACCCTTGGGCCAACTTGGATGATACCTAATACGTTGATAGATTGAGTGTGTTTACTTGCGTTAAATATCCACACTCATTGTGAGCAACGCTTTTGAACGGTTTCGAGCTGTAGATCTACATGAGGCTATCGTTTTATGGAAATACAGTATGAAATAAGCAAGCGGGTGATGCTGACGTATGAATTGAGCCCAGACACGTGATACGAACCGTTTGAAGAAACAATAGAAACTAAATTAATATTCTATTCATACGCCTCTATAGCAATGAGACAATCACAAAACACACAGAGGATACAACAGATCGGAGATCTGTAATTTTTTGGGGTAGAGACATACGAGATAAATAATAAATCTGTGGTGAGTACCTGATGAGGACAGTGGCTTGCCTTTCCTCTCTCACTTCTTTCTATCTCTTGGTTCATGTGAGATCACCTTACGCACCATGGTCAATGGATAAGTTGTATCCCTTTTCGGGCGTATGCTTTTGGCCTGGACAAAAGGTTTAGGAAGATCTTGAGCCCTCATTGAGCAGTGGCACATCAAGTCATAGCCAGACTGTTTTTTAGCTATTTACTGGTGGCGAATTTTCACGATGCAAGTCAAGCGGGTACGATTAAGCTCGACCACCTTTAGAGTAAGGGCTCTAAGCTATTGTCGCCCAAACCCTGTCTGTGGTACACAATTGATGGATATTTCTTGGCAGATCGCGCGCCTAACGAGAAAAAACCTATCGGCCACATTAGCAGCGACTAAGAGCGATTCTACTAAATACGCTGCTGTCAATTCCGATTGAGACCCGATAATGTATCACGTAGGTAAGCAATAGCAGCTAGAAACAGCGGCCGCGTCATGCGGGTCTATCTATGACACGTGCTTTGTGTCCAGCCTATAGAACTGGAACGCTTCTATCGGCCCGCAGTAATGATGACTTGTACATCGATTTCGCATGCATTAACACTCCTCAAGGAAAGTCTTCAACTGAAGCTCAGTCTAGCCGTAGCGCAGTAAAATACTTAAACGTTGACTGCTGCGTATAACGTACGATAGAATCTAGCCATCGGGGCCATTGAAGTTCCTGCTCTCTCGGCTATACCAATATATATACCATCTTCACTAACCTGTTAAATGATTCTACGCTCATCATGCTTAGTTCGATGTCGTGCTTGTATTCGCACGTCGTAGTACGTGAGGGCTAGAAGAACGCTTAGCGAATTGGACGGGCTGGCTGAGCTTATCATACTGATTCATTTAGTTTAAGCTATTCGTGCACGCGTACGCTTGAATGTCTGCCATTACTTAACAGAGACACTAATAGAGATGATCTGTGGTAACGACAAAGCAAACATGCAATGTGGAGCCTATCTATCTCCTAGAATGAAAAAATATTCACATTTGTTTTTGTAGCTCTTCAAAACATTGAAGCGTCAATGTTTTGAAGAGCACACACACACACACACGCTAACACACACACACACACACACACACACACACATCTATATATATATATGTAAAGAGGTTCGACTTGCCACAACTGAATGGCTATATTTATCAGCTCTTAGATCGTCCTTTGAAAGGCAGCCGTCGGTCTCAAGGCTAGAATTTTTAGAAAATTCTGTTTTCCGTACGTTTTTTTTTGGCTGATATGTCAATAATTCCTTAATGTATATCGTTTCTATGTACACTATACTATAGAAACTCACAGAAGTCCCTAAGTACGGAATTTTGTACTAGCCTCAAATCGTCGTACACTCCATAGAGACTCCTGGCATACGAGCAGCCTTCAATTCGATTTACTCATTTGATCTGAGAACTACGTATTCGAAAATGATATGAACAAAAACCTATATGTTCGATAAATTGATTCTCTAAGGCAAAGCTTCGCCGGAGAGTGATGTCCGGCCACTAAAAGAATGGCCAGTGACTTCCCTTATTTGTACGAAGTACGCTCCCGTTGTTGGGTGTAGACTTTTTCCTGTATTGCAGAATTATAGTATCAGTCGATTGGGGGTCATCGTCGAATGTATGCCTTCGATCTTTCAGTCCTCGTTGCCAGCAAACTAAGACTAGTCAGCTTACTCATTGTCACACCGTCATATTCGGTATCTTTCTAACCATTCCCCGCTTTGAATTCCCATCGCCTACGTACACACTTCTATGATATAGACTTATTGAATACTGACTAAATACAGCCAACGACGATAACGACAACAACATTAACGAACGCGATGAAGAGTAGCGAAGAAGGCTATTGTTTACTCCTCTTTGCTTCTTTATCATCATAGTCTCAGGCATTTTCAGATATTACTTCGTCGTTGTCTCGCACGCAGTTTCCTTTCTGGCCGTCTGCCTTCCCCCCGGCTTTGTCATCTGATTCTGAGTCGAGTCTATACGCGCTCGTTGCTTTTCTTTTACATAGGTGGCGCACATTACGCTAGTGAATACTACTTCGTTTCCATAATTGTTACCTTGTCGAGGACTCTTGCAAAACGACGACAGTGGCGGCCCGGTGTTTGTTTACTGGTCGTGGGAATACGGCTGTTCCGTATCGCTGCTGCTGCTGCTGCTGCTGTTGTTGTTATCGCCGAAGGAAATAGCAGAAGCTGTAGCAGGTTCAAGAGGAAAAAGATTCTACGCTTGTCAATTGATCGGCCGTACGGCGCCATTGGGATTGGTGCTGACAGCAGGACCCTTTAGCGACGGCTGCGACTGATACAGGATGTTTATGCATTGTGTGAGCGTTTGTGTATGCAGCCAGATAGAATTGTGTTGGCCTGTGATCGCTTCAAAACTCCGGCTTCGGAATCGGTCGTGATACCGGGCGGGGCAGGGTCGTCTCAGTCAACAGACAATGAGTGCCTCGTTCGCCAACATACGAAGACGAGAGAAACACACTTACAATGATATATAGTTCAAAGAAGTTTGTTCATCGTTTTGCTGGAATTTCATCGACCAAATGAAAGGGGAGCAGCGGTAGCAAAAGCTGGGAACCATTGTATTTGTCCTTTAAGCCTCTGCGTGGTTCTCAGCAGCGACGACGACTCTCCGCTAACTCAGACCCGGACTCACTCGCTATCGTTCCCTCCGTTCATACAACTGTTGTATTTGTTTTATTCATTATGGACGATTATTTTGGTTGCATCAGGATCCTGCGCCGCCCGCTGTATGCGATGCCGCCGACGCCAACAAAGAGCTACTAAGCTCACGGGAAGAGGATAGACCGCCGCGCGAGGCTTATCTTGAGGGAGGCTGGGAGACATACATCTGTGTGGTTGGCTCAAAGCGTCGCGAAAGGCCGGTACGCTGCGCGGCTCAGCCCATTCATATCGTACTTCTCATTGACTTTGTAACGCACCATAGCACAGATTGCCGTCACCGCCGCCATCACGATTCGACAACCACTGTTACCACTGCCGCTACTGCGACGACGGAACGAAAAACGATAGCAAAATGGCAGAGACCACCAGTGACAAAGCGAAAGAGACCAGAGCAAGATCACTAGTGTCACTTATGTCATCGTCGTCGTCGTCGTCGCCGCCGCCGCCGCCGCCGCCGCCGCCGCCGCTGCTGCTGAAAGCTCGAAGCGGCCATGATACGGGACAAGCGCTCGTTTACTAGTCTGTTTGCGGTCCAGAGACAAGTGACCTAATAGTATCTAACGTAACACCGGCACGAAATACGTTACATTAGAAGGGAAACGATTCTGTAAAAGAGACTGCATTGGCTGATGGTCGCTTCTGGAGGTTACTGCTGGCGGGAACTGGTGCAGTGCGACTGCCAGACGCCGATCCCTTGGTCCCGCATGCGTTCTTCGTCGTTATTGACAACGACAAGGAGAAGACGACAGGAAGAATATCGACAACAGACCACGCTGGATATAAAATGGTCACAACCGCTAAAATTGTGACGGCGATAGCAACTTGTAGAACAGTGCATTCAGCATTTCGACTGTTCGGTGGCTTATTGTTGAAAATGGTTTATGGAACTCACGCACAAATGCTCTCATTAAAACCCGACTCCATAGCGCACATGCCGGACAGCGAGCAGCGCGCAGCAACGGAAAACAACCGCAGGGCACCGTCGAAGACGATGACCGACCCAGCCTCAACCCTATCGTGAATTTAGTTGGCCGTATCTATGTAAACTATTACGCATATGCACACAAAGCTTGTAAAGCAAACAGTACTATATATGATTTTAATGAGAACGACCCGTTTAGGCACTGCCGCTATAGTTGGCCAGGTACGCTACCTGGCTGCAGTTTGTTTGCGAACGATGTTACCCTTGTTTACGTTGCATGTGTGTAGAACTGTTTTCCCTTAAAACACCTCTACGGAAATACTCCCATTGAAGTTTTTGACGAAGTGTGTCTTGCTCGCTTCTAACGCCTGTAGCTAGGACCAGATGACAACCAAGACGATTATCATAAAAAATAGAGTATTTCGTACACCTTCATATGCCACATGGATACGGATATGCTTGGTAATAACAATAATGCACTAGTATTTCCTGTAATACATACATACATACACACATACATACGTTCACACACACACACACACACCAACATGCATATGTATACACGAACACACACATATACATTCATACATACACACATGCATACATACATACAGTTCTTGTTCTGTAAACACTGAATTCTACCTGGAAGATCTGCCGGAAAAAAAACATAAAAATCGTGGTCTACCAACGTAGAACAGATTAAATCTGCTAAGAGCAGTTATACTGGAAACCTGGAACAGAAAGTGATGCCGTTTTTGCGTACGCTGTCATACCCCAATTAGTTCAGTTTCTTTTGCAGATTCACTATCTAAGTCGATCCGAGCGTCCGGCAATGATTATCTATACATATGTATTGATTGTTACCTGGCATGTTGATTAGCGCTATAGTCTTTTATATTAGAAAATGATGTTAAAAAAATTTTTAAAAAATAACTTTAAAATTACCTTGGACAAGAGAATCTTTTAGAAGTTCCTTCCCCTCCATAATCTCTTCGACTTCGTCATCGCTCGGGCTCGAACCCTTTGACGTTGTGTTATCTGTAATGGAAATGTACGAACAAACCATTCTAATTACAGAACGTTATAAGACGGTTTAGTCATAACCGTAACATCAGTAATAGACAGAATAACGTAATATCTAGAATTCATTATTGCTTAGATCGTCCTTCGCGTGTCCAGAGAGCTACTTGCGGTTCAAGTTTTATCGAGGCATACTTTTTCGTATCCCAAAGAGTAGCTAACGGTCAACGAATTCTATACGCTCACCCCCCAAAATACTTCAATTAGTAACCGGTATCTGCTCGCTTGCGTTAGAGTAAATCGGAACAAAGAAGATCGTTACTTCACATGCTCCCACGACGATCTGAAGCTATCAACGAGTAGTATCAATACCATTTTCAATACGTAATTAGTGTGTTCTCGGCGGATCCCTCGCTGTAAGGCCCTACGCGACGCCGTCACAGGATCCATCATCGGCCTACGTACAATCGTGACGGAAGGTCGAAAACGGGGCGGTACGGAACGACCACGAGACCTCCGCAAGATACATGCGCTGCTGAAGTGACGGCCGTAACCACTCGCAAACATGAAGAGGTCGCTCCGCGGTAAAACGACGAGATAACCGGTAGCGGTTGTATTGTTCTTCTCTAATATTACATTTTTGTCGACTTTCTTTCGTTAACGGTCAGTGACGATCGAAATCACCTCAACACCAACCATCAGGCGACAGATACGCTACTGTGTATGTCGGGTAACATAGCTGATGAACAATGTTCTGGTACTGCCGTTCACTGTAGAACTACCGTATACTGTAGCTGTATTGGGGAGAGCAGCCAACGAAACAGAATAAACGTCTCACGAACATTAACGCCCAGCGAGAGAAAAGCCATCAATCAGAAGCCGACAGAATCAGGTCTACCCTACTACCATTGCGAAGCACCTTGTTATATCGTGATCTCGTTGTGACGCAACGAAAACCAACGACGAACGAAAAACCAGCTAGCTGCTTATGGGCTGCTAATCTTTCCCTACGCATATCGTCCACGCATATACCGCACTGACTTCATTTTCGTCCTATCTCCTTTCACCTTATTGGTGCTGACGCTTCACCTGCGTTCGTCAATCGAACGCCCCGCACTCATTTCTATACTGGCCATTGCATGTTGTCACTCGTTGCGTCAGCTACGGAGGAAGTGACCGTAGACGGGACGTATCCAAACGACTGAGCGAGTCGTGTGGTCGACGCAAGCAGTTCGAGTTCGATACCTCGTCTGGTGAAGCTGAAGTGTGGGCGAAGGTCAGCCGGGCTGTCCATCAGGTGTTTGACACACACAGATAGATACACACAATTATAATAACACTGTGACAGTCAGTGCAACCTACGGCCGCGTTGCAACAAAATGATTCGTTAGCGGTGACGACATCGACAATCTAGAACGGCCAATTTGGCTCGACTATTCGATCCCAATCTAATTGGTACTACATTGTGTATGTATTTATATAGATACATATGTATATATACCGCGTCACGAAATAATGAATCAGTCGTGCCGATGAAGCGTTCTAGCATATCTGTCTATCGTGCAATTTATTGACCGACAGTGGACAGCTACCGACTAGTTTTATCGTTCGTGTATATAGATCCATTGTGTTTCCCATTTGCGGTTCATAAGCATTAAGATGAGATTTGGCGAAGTACGTCCCGAATAATAATAATGTATGGAGAATTTGTTTTTCCTAGACAGGACACAGGTATAAATATGTGTAACCTACAGCGTTTTGAAATACTCCGCGTTTTGCCTTTACCGCTGCCGGCTCTCTTTTTCTACAGAGATCACTTTATATCTCGTTTTATTGTGCCTGTGTCGCTATCAGTGTTCGCGTGTCTATGCGTTAGTACTACTGCTATCCTTGCCATCGCCGACTTTCTGGTTTTAGCGGAAGCGCGATCAGGAGTATCACATCGCATTGGCGGAATAACAGCGCATGCGAATGCATTCAAACGGGAGCACACGTAAACGCTCATGACCGGGTTGCCTGACGCTCGATGGGCAGGGCCGCTCGTGATCTGCCGACGCCAAGACTTTCGTCGTGACACATGAAAGGCGCAGCGCTACCACTACGACCACGGCTGTGGACAACACAGATAACCACAACAACAACGACGATGATAACATCAACAACAACAACATCGAATGTAAAGGAGCAAAGAAAAGACGATGCTCAGACGGAGAATAGACGAGGAGAGGTGGATGATGGGTCGAACCCCAGATGAAGTATAGCGGTGAAACAACGACGGCGGCGGCGGCAGCAACAAGCATCACAAGGCTACTGCCACCGCATAGTCTACTGTGTCAGCAGCAAAACAACAATACTTTGCCCGTTTACTCGATAAAGCTGCTTTGTAAGGACGGTTGTTGTGCGTCTGTCATCAGCCAATGATCCCCAACGCGATTATACCGACCCGAGTCCGTCGGTATGTTCCGGTCACACTGGTCAAAACCGCGACTAGAGATAAAGTCGAGTCAACAGACGGCGAAGAAGGCGGATTTGATGGGGACGACGTGCAACAGTGACGCCGACACTACACAATACACAGAATGGATCGGGGGGAGTTGACAGATTCTTACCGGCGGCAGCAGCAGCAGCAGTAGCAGCAGCAGCGGCGTCAACGTCAGCGTTAGCAGAGAAAGATGAAAAACAAGAGGTAAGAACAGGAGCTATAGGAGAAAATACAATACAATAGAGTCCCCTCAGTCACGGCCCTCGGTGCAGCTACGCCTAAGCAAAAACGAGCGTCGCAACAGTAAGCAGTAGACAGCACAAGAAGAAACGCCGATGATGGCGAAATCCAGTACGAGGGTCGTGAGTCACGGGAGCTGCTAAAAAAGTCGCGAAAAGTATCGCCGCTGCCCAACAGCCGAAGACGGAGCGAAAAAAATAACAACATCCATACGCTCGGTATTGTTGCACTGCTGAAATGGGCCCACGTACATTTTATGCACTCATGAAAAACGCGCAATGAATACAGCCACTGCGTCGGAATAAGTGTAACGTCGTTTGTAAAAAAAAAAAACACAAACTGGAACACGTTACAACGACGACGAACGTGTTGAAATATACGGATGCATTTGAACACCACGCGCAATGAACCAGACGCTCTGCAAATCCCGAATAGTGACGAATATAAGCTTCCCCTCCAGATAGAAGGGCTATTATCACCGCTCCGTCAGCAACTTCGATATTAACGAGAGCAGAAGTTAGAGCAGTTGCGTGATTTTGGCGTCGCGTCATTTTGAATATCTACGTATGATTAAATATGTATCATTGTTGTGTAATATAAACGTATAAGAAGTAATACAAAAAAGGGCAATGTCTGTAGCATCGTAAAGTGACCGAAGAAGTACAGGTGAATCGTGGATTCAACAAGAACGTCCTATTAGCGTCGCGCCTAATAGAGAGTTATGTTGATCTAAATATGTCGGCATTTGAAAGCTCGAGGACATACATCGAGAGCCGTCTCCAGAAAGATAGTTGCTTCACCTGATCAACGGACTGAGCGGCCCGGTTACTTTTGTTATTATTAGAATTGCAGTTCTTGTAACGTGACTACCGCCTGACCTCCAGCGACCTTTAACTTTGACCCAGCAAGGTTATGAGCACCTTGCCGGCAATCTCAAGAGAGCTTGAGTCTGGTCCATATCGGAGTTGGATACAGTGGAGCGATCGCTGTTACGGAAGATGCATCTGTCTCGCCCTCGCCCTCGCCCTCGCCCCCCCCCCCTCTCTCTCTATATATATACACGCAGTACATATATGTATATACATATATGTACTGCGACATATTTTCTATATGCAGGAACTGCAATATAACGTAACAGCGTAATTGGGACACCTATTGCTGCATAGGATCGCGTCGTGTACGTCAATGTGAGCAATTTTACAAAGCAGCTTTATTCGCCGTACCCTTTTCGAGGCGACTGCGGTCAACAATGACATAATTGCATTCGCGGAGTATCGTGAGCTTCTTCGGAAAAGGACGCACGGAACCGATACCAAAGAATACCACAGTCTCTGACTATGAGACTCAGCGACTCTGAGTTGCTGGACGGCCAACGTTAAATGCTAGTAACAGCGTCGAATTCAATCACCAGCTTTAAAAGGAAGTACTTCGTCAGGCTGAGTGCTGCTATCTTGCGAAATAATAGGTGAAGTAACAAATCTGTAGTAGGTCGAAGCGACATTTGGAGCTGCATGAAGACTGAAGTTTCATGGTTCCGCTCCTATTCACCGAGAACTCCCTGCTTGTGAATATGACTAACATACTAGAATTGTTTTTTTTGCTGAATTTCGGGCCGGCCGTGCCTTCTATTTTCGACTTCTTAGATAGCATTGGTTAGCCAATACGTATAGGAGGGAAATAACGACTTAGAGAAAGTCGCACTTCTTAGACGAGGATATTGGTCTTATTTAGAAATCTACTCAAAACTACTTTGTCCAATTGCTTTTTCATTTCATCGACCTATGCAACTTACACAGAAGACCTTTGGCAGGAAGGATATGGTTAAGTTCAAACGTACCGTGAACGTAATTAGACCAGTTGTTTGTTTGTTTTTTTTCATGAAAAAAAAAAACTCGGCAACAACGGTAGGAGAACGACGTGATCAAAACACTTAAGTGATCTTCGCTCGGCATCTATATTTTAAGAATACGCGCTGAGAGCACACATATATATATATATACACACACAGCCCCTATTGCAGTAGCTATCGGATGTACATACGCACAAATCTACGACTCGAAATAGAAATCTCTCGAGCAGACGCTATTCTCCTACACGTATTTCCCCAACAAAAACAAAGGGACCTAGAAACCTTGCGGTTCATTTGTACTATTTTATGATACCTTTGTATTTACCATCAGTTTTTTTCATTTTTCGCTCGTTTCTATGGCTGTTTGGCATTATCACAAACAAAACATCAGTTACTCGTTAATGCAGATCATCCATATCCTCGTCTCGTTCTTTCATTACGCGGTGC